TTTGCTTCAGCTCTTCGATCGTTGATTTGGTAGCGTCAGAATCATCGGGGACCATGAAGGATCGAGGGATCCCATAATCATCATCTTCGTCAGTCTTCTGCTTCTCTAGTTGGGTCGAGGCTGTCGTTTGTGATTGCTATTTGGTGTCCTGTTTCTCCTTTGAATCTGATCCCTTTGTTGATGATAGTGATGATATCAGTATCACTTCATCGACAACAAACATTTCCTTTGCGGCCAGTTGCTCCCCGTAGACCATTTTGATTCCCTCTGGTGTTGGGAATTTTAGAACCTGGTGAAGGGTCGAGGGTACTGCTCTCATTTTGTGGATCCACGGCCTCCCGAACAGGGTGTTATACCTCATGTAGCCCTCGATCACGTGGAAATTCATTTCTTGGATGGTCCCGGCCACGTTTACTGGTAGAGTTATCTCGCCCATATTAGTTTCACATGCCATATTGAATCCATTTAGTACCAGGGTTACGGGAACGAGCTGGTCCTGTAGACCGAGTTTCTCTACGACCCTCGATCGAATGATGTTGGCCGAACTACCTGGATCAATTAACACACGCTTAACTTGAGTTTTATTCATAAGTACAGATATTACCAATGCATCGTTATGAGGCTGCTTGATTCCTTCTGCGTCTTCGTCATTAAAGGACAAGGTTCCTTTAAGTATGTAATCCTGAGTTCGAGATTGCTTCTCTCTTATAATCGACATCTTAGTGCGTTTAAGCACTGGCCCCTGGGGACATCGATCCCTCCGATGATCATGTGGATAATGTTTTATGGCTCTCCTTGTTTGTTTTGTCTATTGAATTCACTGTTTTTGAAATGATTTTTGGCCTGGTCACTTAAAAACTCTCAAAGGTGCCCTTCATTGAATAACCGGGCTACCTCCTTTCTCAACTGCCTGCAATCTTCCATTCTGTGGCAATGGCTGCCATGATACTTGCACATTTGATTAGAATTTATTTGGGTTGGATCGTACTGCAGAGGTCGAGGCCATTTAGTATCTTTGATGCGTCCGATAGCCGACATGATGGCGGATGCATCAATGTTGTATATACTCCGATAACCGCGGTGCTTCCTTAGGTCCGGTATGCCTATCGAAACCATTCTTGTTCATCAGCCCTCGAGACCCTTGGCCTCGATCACTTCTCCTTTCGCCTCGTACGGAGTTGCATCCAGGTTCGCTACCTTTACGATCTCTGTTATACGGCCGGTATCAGTACTTATTCGACCTCGATTCTCGGTAGATATCCTTTTTAATAACGGACCCAAAACCCAACTGGTCGTCTTCGACTCTAATCTTCGATTGATATCGATTGTGAACATCGGCCCAGGTAACAGCCGGGTACTCAATCAAGTTCTGCTTCAACTGCCGTGAAGCCATTGAGCTTCGTTCGTTCAGTCCTTGGGTGAAAGCTTGAACGGCCCAATCATCTGTGACCGATGGTAGATCCATTTGTTCCATTTGGAAATGAGATACGAACTCTCTTAGCATCTTGTTATCTTTTTGCCTTACCTTGAAAAGGTCCGACTTCCTGGTCTGGACCTTTATGGCTCCGGCATGTGCTTTTACAAAAGAATCTGCAAGCATGGCAAAAGAATCGATAGAGTTAGACGGTAAATTATGATACCATATCATTGCTCCCTTTGACAGGGTTTCCTCGAATTTCTTTAATAATATAGATTCGATCTAATCATCCTCTAGATCGTTCCCTTTAATGGCACATGTGTAAGAGGTGACGTGTTCGTTGGGGTCGGTCGTTCCATTATATTTAGGAATGTCGGGCATGCAGAACTTCTTGGGGATCGGTTTGGGAGCTGCGCTCGGGGGGAAGGGCTTTTGTACGAACTTTTTGGAATCCAAACCCTTCAATATTGGTGGTGCCCCCGGGATCTGATCAACCCGGGAGTTATAAGTTTCTACTTTTTTGTCGTTTGCTTCGATCCTCTTTTCTCCTGACTCTATCCGTTTTGTCAGTTCCTCGAGCATCTTTATAATTTCGGGGTTAGTCCCCGATTCTTGTTCATTTGACCTTACTATAGCTAACCCCGTTCTGTGGGTGACTTCCGGGGTGGACCGGGCTCGGGCCTGCTCGGTGCCTGGGTTTGGCTCTGCAACTGAGCTATCGCTACCTGTTGAGCTTGCAACATTTCGAAAATCATATGCTGGCTGATCCCGTCTTCTCCAACATTTTGGGTATTTCGAACTGCAGATCGAGTTCTACAATGAATGTTGTTTTCGGGGTCGGAATATTGGTTCGCCTCAATGGCCACATGTGAATTAACGTCAATTGGATCTAGGCTAGAGTTCCAACGGGGTCAACGAGTGGCCTTTCCTCCCCGGGCGTCAGGTTTTTATTCTCATCTTGAAGGCCAGCTTCGTTGTCGATAGGTAGGGCCATTAATTGAGAGTTCGATGTTTTTAACCTGAAATCAAAGATACTTCCAAGAGCAAGTGTAAAATAGTACGTTTTATAAAAATTCGTATCAAATAACCACTATTATTCTTAGCCCCATGGTGGACGCCAAACTGTTTACCCAAAAAATGGATAGAGTTGAATTTATACGTAGTTCTAAGGATATGTGATATTAATTGATACAAATCGTAAAAAATATACAAATGAATATCGAAATTAGTTATAAAAGAAATGGATGCAAACCGAATGAACTAGTTAACTTAAGCCTTCAAGTTTTATCACCTCCAAATTGAATGAAGAACGATTGATAAAAAAAATAATATGACTAAATATCAAAAGCCAAAGAAGGTAATATTTGCTCTCTTTCCTCTATATTTCAGAATGAATGTGTGTCTGAATCAATGAGTGTTCCTGTTACAAATGATAACTACTCTTAATATAGTGGAAGAATTCTACTTTGGATATAATTAAAAATATATAGTGGAGATCCCATGATAGATTAATTAATTAGTTTTTCCTTGATTCAAGCTGTGATTTCCGCCGAGATTCTCTCCCCACTTGCGGCTATAACGACTTTTTTTGTTTCTTGGCTCGGTCTCGATAGTAGCNTTTGTTTCTTGGCTCGGTCTCGATCGTAGCCGATCTCGATCTTGATCGGTCTCTGGGTCTCGAGCTCGATCTTGGTCGAACTCGATATTGATCGGTCTCTGGGGCCCGAGCTCGACAACCTAACTTCGAGTCATGGCTCGATATTATAATGATGAATCTCGGACCATTATGTTCCAATCTCGATTTGTCATACGAAGGGCAGACTCGATTTTGACCGTATACAGAAAGATTGCAATTATAGTCCCTTAATTTTTAATTTTGATACGTCTGCTGTCTAACTAAACAAATTTCAACCATCAACTAAAACAATTGCATGCTTTTGGTTTTTCACTGCCACATTTTCAAATCTAAAATTTAATATTTTAAGCAAAGATAAGGAGGAAGTGATAAGTAACTTTTAATTGCTTGCATAAAATACAATTACTCACACAGGACACAGTTTTAACAATATCATTAAGATTTCGCTAAATTTATGGACATTTGTTAGTGGAGGGACTAGAGGTACAAAATACTATTATTAAAGGTTAAATATGCTTGGTTTGGATATTATAGGGATCGGATTTCAATGCAATAATGAAGGGAATAAAATTTTTATTTTCTCTTTCTTTTTAGCTAGAGAGAGAAATACAGTACGTTCTAATATACTGATTCATCATTCATATCACTTCCTATGTGTTACGCATACAGCAGCATTTCTTTGGTGAGATAAAGTAGTTAAACCAGAAGCTCCCAAATATTTGCTTTCCTATTTTATTCACAATGCCATCGCATTCCTTTCTCAAACTTATTACGGACTACTATAATTTTTATTCATATGATCGTCTAGTACTTCATTTTCCACTATACTATCACTAGTGATACTTATTTTCATCATTGAAAGTATTTTTTTTTTACCTTTAATTTTAAGCATATTGTTGCTGTCCTTAACACAAAAATCACGCAAGGTTGAGGCATGATACTTAATGAAACAACTCACTATATGCACCAAGTTGAGGTTAAAATATATACCTTTTTTTAAAGTTGGAACCAAATCCTAATCAAGTCCAATGCAGGTTCTCATAAGCTCAACCTGAATAGATTTGAATAAATAATAAAGAAGGCTTGTGTTTATTAAATTCATTTTTAGGGGGTTAGGGAGAAGGGGTCTTTACTTACTTGGAAAGAAATCATCTCCTGATTAAGATAACAACATCGTAACTCAAAGATCCCATGTTCGAGTTTTATCCTTAGCATTGTTACTTTACTTAATTTTCCATGAAATAAATAAGAGAAATATAGTCTATTCACCATTCACACCACGACTGTGAAAAATAAAGGTCACCCATATACTGTTAACTACTCCCATTATTACCACAACACTGTAAGTTTTGGTCGTAATAATAAATACTTGCAGTTAGGCTAATTTGTGAATCTGTTACACCTGCTAAATCAATATGAATCCAAGTGGATCTCCCTTCTCCCCTTTTATTATTATTTTTTTTTTGTGGGGGGGNTCCAAGTGATGTGCTTGTTAATACATGAAGATTCGATTGGATTACAGAAAATAAGCTGCAATCCCGCCTATTTGATAACACTGTCGTAATCTTTGAATGCTAATGCTTTTTATTAGTCGTGGAAACAACTATTTGCCATTTGGTGATAGATATTCTAGTACAGAATCTGGGAAACTTCCAATTTCTTTCCTATGCTAGTACGAGGAAAACACCAAGTTCGCGCCAGCACACCAAATCATGTCAAGGATATGACTAGAGACATTCGTGTTTATCGCCTATGATTTAATTTCGTTTCACATAACTGGAAAACCTCCACCACTACTGTCAATTCATCCTTTTGTCATCTCCTACATCTTTTTGGCTAACTGGAAGTAGTGAAAGTAACTCTTCAAACCTTCGCTTCGCACTAGAGGAGGAGATGTTAGCTATTTTGTTACCAGAGACAGCAAGATATTTAATTAAGTCACAGAAAAGAAAGGAGAACCTTATAATATTTGCAGGGTTTCTGATGATATGTAAGAAGCACCATTCTAATTTTAAAGTACTTTTTTTTTTACTACAGAAGAAACACATACAACAAAACTAAATTACCTTTCTTTTCCCCCCCCAAGAAATGCTAACCTCATTCACCTCAAAATAGTGCAAGTGCCCCAAAAAGAAAAGAAAAGAACGGTATTGCATGCACAATGCAACAAATGTTTAAACAATGCATTTTCAGCAAAGTGCAATCACTTGATGCTTGCTCGGGGAATTGAAGATGTGCATGGTCCAGCAGATGTCATGAATGGGATTCCTTTGAATGTGGCAATTCCTTTATCATCAGTGAAAAGGTTCTGCAGTACATGATTCTCACATGAGAAACATCTAAATGGATAAGGAGACAACCATACCATGGATGTGATATTTTTATCATTATAAGTTTCCCTTCCCCGTTTTATACAACACATCATTTCCAAGCAGGTTGAGGTCAGCTATATGAATTTATGAAAATTTACCTATACTATATAGTTGAAAAGTTAATGCAAACCTAATTTTACAGCTTCTGAATTCTAAACAACTGAAAACTCAAAAAGGGACCCTATCTTTCTCGAGCTAAACAATTAACTTAGAAGAATGCCCCTGTCCCTCTAGTAAACTAATCAGTCTCATTCTAATAACCATGGTAAGCTACATCATGAGGTTTTTCACAAACAATGAGTTTCATTATATATTTGAAGAGTCAATCAGCCCTGACAATATCATATAGGTTTTCTATTTGTACTTTGGCCCAAAAGACTGAAGCCTCTGATGAAATTGAAAAGGCCAGTTGAGAATGAGATCTCAATCATGAAGAGCAGTCAGTTACCAATGGGTTCTAGCCTTCTAGTAGCAGTAGTTGCCAACTAAGAGAACATGACAGATAGAGCTCTGAATGCAGTAAGTTTATTCGTCCACCAAACATAACAAGATTTAGATATGCAGAAAAAATCAAAGATACATACCACGGCAATTTTATCAAATTGTTTCTTTTTGGGATTCAGAACATCTTCTGGTTTCCCATCATGCCTAGATAGACAAATGCAGACATTAATAACCATAACAGAATCTGAGTCTTACGTTAAAAATACATGGTACCAAAAAGAACAAAAGCCATAATGTTATATCCAGCCTAATGGCACAACTTAAAGAAAACAGAGGAAACACACGCTCTTTAGGGCAGCCATAAACCATAATTACTGTCAAAATGGGGGAGAAAAAGAACATAACCAGAAAAAGAGAACAATGGTCTTGAGGTCACTCGATCTGAAGGACTGACAACTGACTAGTATCTAAGGGCACTGGAATTTCAAATGTACTTTTTTAAAAAATCACCTTAGTTGAAAGACCTTGCTTGCTATAATTCTCTCTGCTTCTTAAGGTGATAAATATAGTAGTTCCGAAAATCTTGGGCCAGGAACAGAAAGGGGAAATTTAGAAGGTTGATGGCAGAAAGGTAGAGTCCAAGAACAAAAAAGGACATGGGACAGATGTTTTGTGAAAGAACGATTTTTTTTTATGAAGGAAATCTTTTATTAATACATTCCACATAATATATATTACGCGAATCGGTGCCATAAATCAAGCCCAGAGAATGTGGACCTTGAAATTTATGCAATACCAACAGATTTAGCTACAAAAACATACCCAGAAAATAAGATGCACTCCCCAACTTTGGCACCTTTTGGTGCTATCAAAGGCTCCACCACAGTATGATCTTCATTAGAAGCACATAATACCTATAAAGAAAATTAGGAAAAAAGAGTTACTATCAGTAAGAAATGAGAGATAGTACTGCGAACAGAGAGAAGACTACAAACAGATTAACTTGAGCTGGACAACTCTACACATTCAGCTAACCCATCTTTCTTCAGATATAATACCTAAATATTCCTATGCACAAATTACATTTGTCTGGATTTCAAACTGCTTTAGTGGATATGTTCTAACTACATTAAGAACGCTAGATATTCGAATAATGAGAAAGTACCATAGTGACCTAGAGTTCTCAACAGACACTTAGAAGTCAACACAAGCAGATAGCAAATGAATAGTTAAATTACCATTATATTAGGAAGAGGAGGCAGAACATTCAATATAACGCAAAAAATTAACTAGCTTATGCTAATTTACACCGAATTAGACTCCCATGCTACTGGAAAATACAATGTGAAATTAAGCATAGCTTAGATGGGAATATAATACCATTCCCTCTGATGCTACATCCCTTAGTTTCGATGGTTTCATGTTTGTCACGAGTACCACAAGGCGATTCTGCAGGGACAACAACCAACATAAAATAATTAGAAGAAATAAAAGCTCCCAAAGAATGCAGCAATACCAATTCAAAGAAGCCAGAAATATAGCATATACTAATGCTTAATGACAGAGGGCATACAGCCAACTGCTCCGGACTGCAAAACTTTGCCAGGCCGCTAACCACTTGACGACATTTTGCTTCTCCAACATCTATCTCCTCAACCAGTAAGCTATACACAGGGATAACACAGGAAAAGGTTTTAAAACAAATTAGATAACATATAAAGTTGCTAAGGCATGGTATCACCAGAACATGAAAAGGACAAAAGGGAATGGATAAGTATCGGGAAAGAGACTACAAATAAAAAGAATGAAAAATACAATACCTATCAGCTGATGGATGTTTCCATGCTTTTTTAATGTGGCCAATCTGTAATTTGAGCAGACTAACACTGATATCTTTATCTTTCTCATCTACCTTTTCAGGCAACTTCTTCTTTTCAACAGAAGTTTGATTATNTTCAGCAGAAGTTTGATTATCTGCAGCAGCTTTCTTCTTCAGCTATTTAAAGGGATAAGTGTTAGAAACAGTTTAAAATTTGGGATATTTCACAGTAACAAAAACCTGATAGCATCAAGAACGTGCCCTTATTGCAAACAAGTCATACCAGAGTACCTAGGACTGCAACAAAGACACTAATCATAGGTAATGACAATATTTTCTTCTTTTTTTATTGAGGAATGGTAAGTGTAGTAATGACAATATTTTCTATTACCGTCACTAATTGAAAAGGCAAAATTTTCTGCCACTTGCAACAAACGGTCCAGAGAACCAGAAACAAAGTTAAATAACAAAAAAGTTTTAACTGTAAGAGGAACGGACCCAAGAACTTTATCAGCAAATAAAAACAACCGAAGGCCAATGTGTTACAAGTAACATACCGCACCACTACTGTTCTTTGTTGAGTCTGCATCTGAGCTACTAGCCTTTTTGGTCTCCGACTCAGTTTTTTTTATATTTGACTCCACTTCTACCTTCTTCAAACTTTTAGATGCCTGAATCAATGCCAGGGAAAAAAGATATTAAAAATAGCCCATTCTTGGACTTTGTTGGGCCTAAAAACTAATCGATTCAAGGAATGCTTCAAATCAAGATAGTATAGTAATTCAAAAGCGTTACTGAGAATAGCGTGTTTTAATAAAAGTATTCCACAGAAGTAGCCAAGAGCAATGCAACTTAATGCTGTTAATTTGTAAATATTCCATAAAATATGCATTAAACGAATTGCCACAAGTAAAGAAATGAATTATCACATATTTCTGTCTCCACTTTTATTTCAGTAATGAAGAAAACCATTTATATTGTTCCATTAACGAATACTGCAGTAGACTGGATGTCACTGCTCCTGTTCTGGTCACTGGAAATGTAGCAATGCATGGAAAATGGAGTTCAAACAAGTCAGAGCATATCAATTCTGCTCTCAAGATAGTTCTTCAGAAAGTCTAGCTCAATGCAGTAAAAGCATTACTCACAGGTGGCTCAAATTGGACCTTCTCCAGAAAAATAGTTTGGAATTTATCTCCAACATCACCTTTAATCTGCACAAAAATAGATGTATTCAATAGAATGTGTGCTGATTTCTTGCTCAATATAAATCCAGGAGCAATCAAACTACCTCACATTGTTCGCTCATAACATATAAAAATTCAATTATTAAAAGTAGTGGTTTGCTGTTTAAACACTGGCTAATATTTTGCAAGGCCGAGCATCATAGAATGGATTAGACTTGAAATAAGAAATGATTTTTTCCAGTAATCATAAAAACCCCAAGATGGAGAAATAGAAAGAACTAGAGAGTGAAAACAGGACCAGGAGCCCAGCTGTGCCTACGAGAGCTTGGTTAGTTTTTAAAAACAAACAAATATTCTCCCGGACTCACCCTGAAAGCCTTTCATTAAACTACTTAGTTCTTTCATTAACTCAGCTTCTTACCTCATTCACTCAATTTAAACATACCATGAAGAACAAAACTAAATGATCCAATTTCGATTTTATGGTATGGTTAGTAGGCCAGCTTCATGTCCTGCGCACAGGTTTTGCTCCAAAATAATATCACAATCTATCGAGGGTGAAGTTGTCCTTTTTTAAGGATGTGAAAATTTCCAGAAAATGAAAAATTTGTCCATTTCCTTAGTTAATGGATAGTGCAGGGAATTTTCCGCTTTGCAATATTCTAGGTTTACTAATTGGTTGTTTTGTTCTCAGAAATTCAGAAAACCAGAGAGGAAAGGCAAATCTTTTCTCTGCCTGTTTTTGTTCAATTCTAACAAGGGAAGAAAGTCAGTTTTCATATTTTGTTCAACAGAGAATAAACAAACTAGGAGCTATATACAGAAGTGAAATGGTTAAAAAAGCTAATTACTTTTACACCCAGCTCTATTCTTTATTTGAATGTCATGAGTAGTATATTCGGATGTCCATTATATCAAATTCCATGTAGCATTTGTAGTTCAGAATAGTTTTATTTTTGCATGTGATGGTGACATACCTGAACATTATAAAGGACTAACTTTTCAATTTGAAAGCACAAAACTACATAGTAGCCCCACATCTTTTTTCACTCAAATTAATCAAAAACTATATTTGACTACAATGCTAAACAAGTGTACCAAATCTCACAGCTAACTTTTGGTTCATTCTGTAATCATCTATAAGTCTTTTCAGTTTTCCTTGTCAAAATAGTAACAACCACCAAATAAGGAAAATCATAACAGCAACCAATTTCCTTTTTCCCTAGTAACAATTAATCTTCTCTCTCTATTACTCAATCCTCAAGACAAAGAAAGTCACAGCCAAAACAAAACCAGCTTTTACAATCTGATGATAAAATGACTGACATACTCATGCTCAATTAGTAGAAAGATTCCATCCTAAGTAGAGCAACCTGTGGACATCACCAAACTCAACACATCAAGGCCATCGCGTAAGCCTTTCCTTTTGACATTCGATATACTGCTGGATGAAGATCCCAATTTCTAGATACTACCACTCTACTATCATCTAATCTCAGTTTAAAGATAGATATAAAATTCTAGCATACCTGGATATAGTCCATCCATCTAAGCAAGTATGGCAATTTGTTCCTATCAGAGTTTGAAAGACTGATCTGATGGCAGTAGAATGATGATAGCATGTTAGAATGAAAGAGTGAGCTAAAGAAGTTTGCATTCAAAACTATATCATATTTCAATTAAGGAACTGTGGAAGGTGACATTTAAAAAACCACTTACACTACAGTATAACAAAGAATAAGAATCGCCTAATCGACCATTAAAAGCTTTAATATTTATGCCTAACATGACAATGCAATATGGACATAAAGATCATGTTTACGTAAAACGTAACTCTTCAAGGTGTGTCAGGTGTGATAGAAAATGTCCATTTCCAACAAAAGGGAGGAAACAGTTTCCGACACTTGTAGGAAGAATCAGTTTCCATTACAAATATATCAACTCTTATTCAAGATTACTACTTGTTTCTTTATCAAAAATATAAGTACTTGTTGCTGTCAACATTTAGTAATTGTTGCCGACATTAATACTCCAAAATAACACTTCAGATCTCCATTGTATGAAATTGTGACTTATCTTTTCTAGCCTTTTTGTTATTGTTAATGACAAATTAACTCTTTTGTTGATTTGCAAGTGATGATAAAACAGACAGGGACATCAGATCTCCATCAAATGGGGAATGATGACTAAGTCTAATGGGAATCTCTCTGATGCAATTCAGCTAAGATAAAATTTCTTTTAGTTCTCGGCTCACTTTTAAACAGTAAAAGTTATTGTAGAGCACTATTTGCTTGCATTGTTCCAATTTTTATGGTATGATTGGAATACGTGAGATAGTTGTTTATTGTTCTATTATGCTCTTATTTTAAATCTGAAACGAAAATACCATAGGTTTCCTTATCGAAGCATATGATGGGTATAATTATGCTTGTACTGGTATGTCATGTACAATTGCAAATTTAGATATGCACCTTTGTTATAATTACTCATTTTCCATTATTTTTAATCCTATGTCTTTTCATGTTGTCCGTGCAAATGACGATAAAACAGACAGGGACATCAGAACCCAGAAGGGTATTGATGATTTATCGATGGGAATCTCTCTGATGCATTATACCATTTTGTATTCAAGTGTGATTTTTGGCAGCTTAACCTTTTCTAACTAGTAATATAATCAAGAAAATGATTTCCTATGATAAAATATTCGAAAGAACAATTAAGAGAAGGAAATACATACCATGAATGAATACACCGATGCAAAAACAACTATATCAGCTGCTGAAATCTTGAATCCATTGCCCAAAATAACAGACTTTTTACTCAAATCCTCATTCAACTCACTTAGAGCTTTAAAGCTTGCCCCAGAATCAGCAGGGAAGTTACTGGCAAACTCCACCCATTTCACTAACTGAAATGAAAATTTCATCTCAACGTCAAATTGAAACTAAATAAATCCAAAACTCAGTACAAAAAGCTAGCGAACGTTGAAATATTACCTCTTTATTTTTTTGGGAAGAATTTAAAATGTCTGTACACAAGCTTTTAATGTCTTTATCCGAATTCTGCATAATTTAGCACCAAAAATAATCCATCAATTTGTATTTGTTACATGCACTCAACTTAATTCATGCATACTGCAAAAAATGTTAGGGCTGAAAAAAACTTACTGGGTTTAATGACAGGGTGGAGAGGTGATTGCTTAGAGCTGAAACAATGTTTTGCTTCTGATCTGCAGATGCCATGGTTCGATGATTCTTTGGTGTATTTACTTTTAGAACTAGAAACTTCACTTCAATTGTTCAAATCGACCAAAAATAGGATTTTGTAGGGTTTTATTCTCACTTGTGGGCTGGAGCATAATTGGAAATTTGGAATGCTCTGTCCATGTTGAAAATGGGCCATATTTGTTTTGGATGGCCGAAGATCATAAGCCCAAAGTGAAAATGATATTTCTAGATGGATATTTTCATAATTACTTACGGATTTATAAAATATTTCATAATCTACAATTAGTATAAGAATAACAGATTCTACAATAAATATATAAAATATATCTATATCTATATCTGTCTATATATCTATACTATATTAAAAGAGGTCCTTAGTGAAATATCATTCGCATTTATTACCCTTTAAAATATGATTTTACATCTAATAATATTGTCATTTATCGATTCTCCTAATATTTAGGACATTAAGATCAACAAAATTTAGTTTATTAAATTTTTTCTTATTTGCATTAGGCTTAGGCCTTTAAAATCAATTTAAAAGATTTTCTTATTCTACAAAAACAGAAATAACGAACTTTAAAAACTTACCTAACGTTAATTAGGTAAACATGGAAACTTGAACGATTATAATTTATTGCTTTCTACCATAAATAACGACAAAATCGAATAGAGTTTCTTTAATTAACTGTAAAATTCTAACAATTTGTGAAATTAAAGTGGCCGATCTCTTATTTAATTTAAATGAGGTTAAACGGGTTCTCTAATATCGATAAAGCAATAGCTTCCCATTGCAAATAACAATAGTAAAACATGTACAAGTTTAGGACTAAAATAATATATTTAGGTCTTTAAAATTAAACATCACTCGCTTAAAATATGATTTTGAGCATCCATTATTTTGATTAAAATACTGTCGTTCTTCTTTAATTTCATCATATTTCTTAATTCATGGTTAAAGATTATATGTTATTCTATAGACTATTGTCAGTGTTTGTCCGTTATTTTATATATATTTCTTCAAGGTCACCAAAAGATGGTTCTTGCTATAAAAAAAATGTCCGACCAAGGGCCATAAAAGTTTGATTTTGGTAGCAAAAGATATGACCATCAAAATCAGTTTGTATGTTACATTTAGGGGTAATTTTATATGTAAAATTTTCATTCATCTTTTTGTATTCCTATAGGAGTGAACTTATTGTACTTATGTTATGTTTTTAATTTAGCATTAGTTTAAGAGTAATTTTCTTCTCATTTGAAAAAGGTGAAACTAGATTCTCAATGCCATAATTTTACTCTTTTGAGATGGAAAATAGAATTGATAAAAAGTTTTAAAAAAATTGAATTTTGAAAAATTGTTACTTGAATGTTGCTCTATAAAAGTCTAGGTGAGGGTTGTTCAGTCGATGTGTTTCTATTTTGATTTTCTTGATAATTTATTTATATTTGGTTTAGATCAAATGTCCAAGTCTAAAGTCAGTGGGCAAATTAAAATTTAAGATTAGAATGTCATTGCAATTAGTTTTCTTTGTAATTATTTATATATTTGATTTGTTTAATACATGTATGTTTATTTCTGATTTGTGTTTATAGTAATTTGTTTAGGTTTTGCTTATTTAATTTATAATTTGTCTAGGTTTATTTGGAATGAATACCAAAGTTATTGTGGAGTCCAAACCGTGTGCTCATTATGAAATTCATTAAATTTAATTTATTGAAATTGAAATAACCATGTTTTATATGGAGCTCACATAGCAAACTTTAAATAAAAATAAATCATATGAGAAAAGAGAAATATATAAAATGAGATACAATAATATGATTTGGTCATTTGACCTATATATGAGCAATTTACTAAAAAATAGTATACAAACATTTTTCTCCAAAAAAGAAAATTAGCCAAATAAGAAATAGATTTATATTTTCCTTTTAAGAAAAGTAACAAAATAAATGTGGCATTTGCCCTTGCTTCAAAGAAAAACTAAAACTCAAATAAGGTAGATTATGCCAAATACAACAACATAATATATCATTATTTTATACAATAAAATACATATAATTATAATTACTACTAAATAACTAACTCATCTAAATCTTTCATCTTTGAAGATTTAGAAAATATTCAATTACTTTGAATTCATCTATATGTAAAGTATTTGTTATTTATTTAAAACATTATTGCATGTATTTCGACATCAATTGTTATTTCATGTAATTCACTCTTATTCTATATTTTGTATGTCCTTTTAATAATAGACGCAGAACACACAAAGGCATTTAGCGAAATGTCGTTCGTCTTTTTTACTCTCTAAAAATAGAGTTTGCACTGAACAAAATAGTCTTTTACAATTATCGTCCTAATATTTAGGAATTTAAAATAAAATAAATTTATTTATTATATGTTTCCTTATTCAAATTAAAATTTTAATTATTAAATCTTTCCTTATTGACCTACGTAAAAAGTCTTGATATTTTGGACTTTAAATTAATAGACTTTACTTCATATTAATTCTTTATTTCCTTATTTAAACTATGTAAAATGATATAATATCTTTCATGTTTTTTTTTAAAATTTTATAATTTAAAATAAACTTAAACTTTGTTACAAAGATTAAAATATATACGCTGATGTCCTCTAACCTGTGGCTTGCAAGTGTTTGCCGGCGTAGTCAAAGGCTATGTTTGATTGCACCGATATTGTCACACCAGACGATGTCGCAGGGTCAGGTGGCAGATCTTTTGTGAATCCTACTTTTAGCAGATAACAGACCATGTTTTGGATTGGATTATTCATGTAAGTATAATCTAGAGTTCTTTATTGATCAAATACGTAATATGTGGGAAGAAATCATCGGGTCCAGAAGATAACAGAAGCTGTTATCTGATATAACAAACATAATTTTCTTAAATCTTAAACCAACTAATACAAAATGGTGAACGGAGAACAATTGCAAAATTCTATATTCTAACTAGGTCTTTGTCTCATAGGTATGAAATGATCAGAGGAACAAAAACGTTAACAAAGAAAATTCTATGCATAATTTTGATTAAAAACATGGTCTGTTATCTTTTGCTTTTCTCCTCTTGTTATTCTCTTTTACCTTAGCGAATTTTAAAACAACAAGCTATAATTTATTCTTTCTAGACTTTATGTTTGAGTTGGTTGATATGTGTGTTTGTTGCTGCCGCGTGAGCTAAATGAAAGATTTCTACATGGATATATATATATATATATATATNACTAATCAAAGGAAGTTGTTGGATGAAGTAATTAATGCGATCGTCAATGAGCTGAGATGATATTTTGACATTTTAACATAGGGGACTTGGTACTAAGAAAAGTCACTCTCAACACCCGAAATTCGAATGAAGGAAAACTGGGTCTGAACTGGGAATGACCGTATCAGGTTCTCAAAATTGTCGGAAAAGGATCCTACAAGCTCGGTATAATAAGCGGTAAATAAATACCGAGCAATTGGAACGTATCACACATAAAACGATACTACTGCTAAGGTACGACCCTTCCATGTTCGTTTGTATTTCGATACTAATCCTTGCAGGTGTTCGAGCAGAAACAGGGATGGATTCTTCAAACACAAAACCTTTATGTGTGAAAGCACATGTTGCACTCCTTTTTCCTTAGACCGATTTTGTCCCAAATGGGTTTTCCGGTGAGGTTTTTAACGAGACAACCATTGATCGTGCTAACTTAGAACGATTCAACAGTATCAGAGGCCTCTTTACAAATCAACCTCGAATACTGGGGGGCATCGCCCTCGGATATCAAGTTTGGGCAAGCTCGTTACTCTATGGCAACATGGTCTCGATAGGAAAAATTTGTAAGGGCCAAATGGTCAAACGAACCATGCCCGCATAGTTTGCTCGAGTCCTAAATATGTACGCATGTATAATAACCAATAAAGAGAAATTTTTCTTTACTGATATCTCATACCTCATACCTCAGAATGGTTCTTCTGCTTCATATTCTCGATCTATTATGCAAACAGGCTTAAGGGCCGACCATTGACGGAGTTTGAACTATAACCTCGAACCGGGGACTACGTATAAAGCCTAAGGGCTACGTCACTTCATGTTCGAGCAAATTCTCACTCGACTACAAAGCCCAAGGGCTACCTTGATTCAAGTTCGAACTATAACCCCGAATCGGGGACTACGTAAAAAGCCTAAGGGATACCTTGATTCGTGTTCGAGAAATTATTCTCACTCGACTGTAAAGCCTAAGGGCTACCTTATTTCGAGTTCGAGCAAACACTCACTCGACCGTAAATCCTAAAGGCTACCTTAATTCGAGTTCGAGCAAACCCTCACTCGACCGTAAAGCCTAAGGGCTACCTTAATTCGAGTTCGAGCAAATACTCACTCGACCATAAAGCCTAAGGGCTATTTTTTATTTCGAGTTCGAGCAAATACTCACTCGACCATAAAGCCTAAGGGCTATTTTTTATTTCGAGTTCGAACAAACACTCACTCGACTATAAAGCCTAAGGGCTATTTTTTATTTCGAGTTCGAGCAAACACTCACTCGACCATAAAACCTAAGGGCTGTTTTATGCTTTGAGTTCGAGAAACCATCCTCGCTTAACTATAAAACTAAGGGTTACTTTACTTCGAGTTCGAGTAAGTACTCACTCGATCAAAAGGCCTAAGGGCTACACTAGTTCGGTTTTGATCAAATTATGTAAACCCCAACCTTAGAATACAACTTCACAATTCTATAAAGCAGAAAGGAAGAAAGTTTTTTATACATGTCAAAAATCATTTACAAGGGCAGCATGACCCGATCAAATCTCTTTACAAAAGACCAAAACGGTCTTATAAGAAACACAAAAAATACTAAAGGACTTAGCCCTCTGCAGGAGTAATATCTTCGCCCTCGAAGCCCCCTTCGCTGTTAGATCCGCTCGTACTCTCGGTATCATCATCATCGGAAAAAGCCAACACTCTAGTTTCGGCTTCAAGCTCCTTAGCTTTCTCGATCTCGACTGTAAGATCGAAGCCACGAGTATGGATCTCTTCAAGAATCTCCCTTCGAGACTGGTATTAACATGCTCGGAAACCCAATTTGCT